ACCATTATACTAGGGAAGGAAGCTCTAGTTTAGTAGGATAATACCCAGTTTACTGCTCTGCTTTATAAGCACTTGATCCCTAAATACATACGTCAAAGTTACAGGCTTGCCAAAATATGGTTTTAATTATAATGCAATGCTTTACCTGACAGAATGTATTTCACACTGCTTGGGCTCTGCAAGAGAATTATACTTTCCTTGCAAAGCATTAATTTCTGCTCTGCTTAAATGCTCTCACTCAGGTGACCTGTTTCCATTTTTTTCTGGCAAATACTAAGAATGAAATACAGCTTGAAGAAAGTCATCAAAAGTAGCGTTGGATCTTTGCAGACTTGCTGGTGTTTCCCTTCTGCTTCTCTTGTGATGTAATTAACTGGAATACATGGGAGAATTTTTTGTAGCACAGTAAACTGATGGGCACATTTTGTACCCTACTTGGAGAATATGTTAAGAAAAAAGGGTTCCTGGAGAACTGTGGAAAGGTACTTCACAGAAGAATCTCAGAGGCCATAGCTTTTGCATATGGCTGGCTTAATGGTGGGAAAGGCACAGAGGTGGCATGAAGCTCCTATTTATTTGATAGTGGGAAAGGGAAAAGATTCTATAGTGTCCTCAACAAGCAGTCTTCTTATCTCCCACTTTCTTTTCATCTGCTGCCAGGTGTGCTGATTGATGCACAGCGCCATCCTTTCTAGAAAAATCAACGTACACAGACATCAAAAGTAGGTTTTGGTTATCCTGCAGCTGGAAACCTGGTAATTGCCACTGATAACAATCCTAAAATGTTTTTCAAAGAGAGCTTGGCGGGGGAAAAACCAACTCACAAAGCTTCACTTAATGCCCCTGAAGACACCCACATTGATTACTTTGTGTGACAAAAATCCTGCAGAATTAAGATGTTGCACAATCCTCAGCATAAGTCAGTGAATGCAAAATACAATGCACACTGCATATCCAGAGAAGAAAAAAGTTCATGGTTTGGCAGAACTGGATCGTATATAGGTATATTCTTATTGAAAGATTTGTCCCAGAGCATTTCTTGAGAGGCTATGAGTATTGACAACTTCATGACATGAAGATAAGTCTCCTAGACAGTTTAGCACAGGGTGCATGCAATAAAGTGGTCCCCGTGGATGTGATTCATCATAGTACTCAAAGAATCTTGAGAAGGTTTTTACTATGATCAATAAGAGGCTAATTGTCTTACCAGTTTGAGAGAAAACTTTGTGTACCTGTGCTGTGGCCTTTATAGAACAAACATTCATATACAACAGAACAAAAAGTATTGCTCTGATCTGCTTTATAGCAATGCTGCTATTACAACTCAGTATCAATCTTTTAAGCTTAGAACTCAGTAACATCAACACAGTCTCTATCAAGATTTGTCCCTATATACCATTAATAGTAGCAAGTACCCAATCATGATTCCTTTCAGTAACGTGGAAAGCACTTGAGAAAGTGTTCAAGAATGTAGTGTTTGCTGATACAGCCTAGTGACTCTCAGTGACTGCAGCAAAGGAAGATGTACAGCGTCAAGTTTGTTCATTGTAGTTTTGCTTATGTCCAAATACCTTGAGTGTTGCCCTTGAACATGAGAATAACCTAAGTAGTGTGGGTTTGATTTTTTTTTTTTTTTTTTAAATTCCATGATGGGTGCTCTGGTGAGAGATGTCACTTAAGATAGACTCCATTAGATCTAATATTCCATGACACCTTATATTAAAGCTAATATCTTTCTTCATGGTTTCCAGTTAAGTGTGCGTTGGGCTTGTGCATGGGGACAATGCTGTACCAAACATGTCTTCTAAGGAAAAGCATCATAGATGTTACCAGGTTTTTGTTATCACCACATGGAAATAGTAATTCTATCAAAAGAACATTTAGGGTTTATTGTATAGCACAGCAGGTTTGAAAACGTGTCTTGCTTGCACAGAGTTCATGGGGACTAGATGTAGTACTCCCAAACATATTTTATACTTTACTCCTTGACTCTTGTAGTTAATAAACTGGGTGTCGTAACATGTAAAGCAGTACTATACAAACCGTGCTAAGTTTAATGAGTTTGCTCATGCTGGCAAGATTCAGTGTGATTGAAGTGTGGTGTGGTGAGAAGGAGCTACACTGACCATTTTACAGACCTTAGCAGTCTCTTGTGGTCACCCATCTGAGTATAAGTTATGCTTTGGTGCTGTGTATTTAGTCAAAAAAATGCCTTATTAGCCAAGTAAGTGGTTTTCAGATTTGCATTTACAGTTGCAGCCCAACTGTGGCTGGATATATGCTAGTCTGGAGTTTGCAGAAGACCATATTAACCATGTTTCTGTATAGACTCCTTGAAAATTGTGAAGTGGGAATACTGAACTCTCTTTTTCTGTCTCATTTTCATCCAAGTGTGCCAGGTCCGCCCAGCCTGCAGCCAAGTGTACAGTTTCTTTCACTCTGCTGACCCCTCTGCCTGCAGACTTGAACCATTGCTGGAAAAAAGATTCCATCTCCTGCCTCCATTCAGTGTCCCACGGTACCAGAGATACCCACTAGGGGATGGAAGATCTCACCAGTTAGGTACAGTGTCTATTTTCATAGCTCTCCTTACCTGTTGTTCTCTTAAGTATTCTGTCCTTACGCAGCTCAAGAGGATTTGAAATGCCAATGTGCTAACATGCTAAAACCAAATCATCTGGGACAGAATGGCACAGGCATATTTAGCAAGTGTGGAACCAAAGAAAATTACCAAGAAAAAATTATTCTTACCTATGAGCTTTTGTGATACTAGTTGCCTTAAAGACGGGGTGGAAGGTGATACCACTGCTTGTAGTTGAAGTGTCACTTGCAAACTTCCATGTCTTTGACTATCATTTTGAACAATTTATTTTTACAATCAGTTGAGCTTTGCCTAGATCTTCAGATACTGTTTCTCTTAGTCATTTGTGGTTGGTTTATTGCAGATATCTACCAGGACAAGAGCACTTGGCAAATTGTCTTTTGATTACTGTTTTCCTAGGTGGGCTACTAAACAATAGTTATGTTGGGTAATAAATGTTTGAATCCAGGAAAAAAACTGAAATTGACAGATTTATGGGGAGGAAAGAGGAAGACATAGATGAGCAAGGTGCTAGTAGAAGCAATTGTGCTGGTTTGCCTTTATAGAAAATGAGATGTTGACTTGTCATATTACACAAAAAAGGAATTGATCAGTGTGTATCTGTACGTGCATGCACATTAGATTTATTCTTTTGCTACATATTCAGATGTGAATTCAAGCCTCATCAGGATATTTCAAAAGGTTTTTCAGGATTCAGAGTTTAAGGTTGGAGGCTAATACAATAAAATGGCAGTGTTTTCTGTTTGTTGAAGCTGGGAGAATCATAACATTGGGAACCTGTTCCGTGCTGTAGGATACACACAACTCCTTTGTTTTATCCACTCAAATGTGGAGTACATTGGATGCAAATCAGTTTGAATCTGATTAAATCAATGTTTGAAAAGCAACAGTTGATCTTGAGTTGCAGAAGGTTGGTTTCTAGGTGTTGGCCTCACTGAAACATGTGAAGATCTGGCTGTTCCTCAGGAATTGACTTAAGGAATAGCTAAGGTGAGGGACAGTCTAAACTAGGGAATCTGTGTGTTCTCACCCCTGTGTCTTCAGTTTTCTTTCAGTGGAAATATATATCTACATTCTGACTTGGAGTTGTTATAACCCCTGACTATGCACTTGGAAATCCTGCTGGTTAGTTAGGCACAAATTCTGTCACTGAGACATATCTAAGGCTGTCTTGAAAAGCTGAACCCTCTTTTAAATAACTGTCATAGGAAGAATAGTTCCCTTAGGCTGCTTTTCAAATTGAAAACCTTGTATTGGTACATTTTACAAGCTTTGTTGTGTTAAATCAGATACAATGATTCTTGAAACAGAGGCTTTATAAGTGATTTGGGAACAACTGGTATTCTTTTTGAGTTCATCCAAGCACGGGGTCAGAAGATTCCCTTACAGAGCATGTAAATCTGGAAACCCTGTCTGTTGGATGTATTATAAAATAAAAATTCCTGAGTGCTAATGATCAGCAAACAATTCATAGTATGGTTTTTGTATTTAAACCTCTGTGCAGAGTTAAATCATTGTGGTGCTTTAGACCTAAGCTGTGTTACATTTCAATGAATGTGAAATCCTTCCATTTAAATGCAAGTGCTCTGAGATCCTTTTGGAATTTAAGGTTCATCATTCACAAAGGATTAATTCTAGTGACTGTATAATTTTTTTTTCCTTTCTCTCATACCTGGACTTGTGAAAGTATTTCTTAAAATGAGAACTTTTGTGGTGTTAACTGGAATGTTAGCTTACTAATGAGTTATGGTGAGACCTAGTTACACCAAACTCTGACTATTATGCACTGCCCAAAATAGCCTTTTCTGATAATCATAGATCATAGAATGGTTTGGGTTGGAAGCATCTAGTTCCAACCCCCTGCCATGGGCAGGGACACCCTCCACTAGACCAGGTTGCCCAAAGCCCCATCCAGCCTGGCCTTGAACACTGCCAGGGAGCCAGGGGCAGCCACAGCTTCTCTGGGCAACCTGTGCCAGGGCCTCAGCACCCTCACAGGGAAGAATTTCTTCCTAATACCTAATCTGAATCCACTCTCTTTCAATTTAAAACCATTATGCCCTGTCCTATCACTCCATGCCCTTCTAAACAGTACCTCTCCAGCTTGCTTTCATGTCATTAAACAATCTCATTCCCTGTTCCTTTTCTTATAAGAACTGCTGATTAAAACAAGAACGATTCTGTTGTCTGCCTGACATTCCTGATAGGTGCCTCTGTGGCAAAAAAAAAATTCTCATCTGGAAGCCATGTGAAAAACATTTACTACTGGAAGAGAATTTCACTGTATGATTCATAGGAACAGTTCAGTGATAACACGGGCTGGAGAACATGATGAAAACTGTGAGGGGAGGATTTCTATAGCTGTCTTTTGGTTCTTGCCAATCGAACGAAGCTCTTGGAGCCAGCTGCTCTGTGCATAGGGTTTATCTTGAAGCTTTTAGTTTATCAAATTTACTTTTTCCACTGAGATTCAGGAAACAGCAAAGACTTAACTGACAGGACTTAAAGAGCAGGGCACACGTTTAGCTAGACAATTGGCTTTTTCATCCAGCATGCATCAGTACTTATCACTAAGTCTGACCCTGGGGTCATTCAGTTTGTAGTAATGTGGTATTGTTTGCGTGAGTGATGAATTGATCATTAAGAGCTTAATGATGGTGAAAGCTGACTCTTACCACACTTGATTTTGACAATCATAGAGACTTGAACAGCCCAGATAATTATTCCTCTTTCCATCAATTACTTGGTCAGTTGCAACTGTATCTTCTGTTTATACAATTCCTAATGATGTGGATGTGATGACATTATTAGGATGTTGATAAAATAGCTTACTAAAATAAAATTTTGAGGCATGATTTAAATTCAGTTTTCTGAATGTATAGGAGAGTCAGCATATTATAAGCAAAGAGAAAGAAAAATTAGCAAAGATTAAGTTTAATATCTGAGATATCTTCAACCTAGGCACTGGATAGATAGAATGGAAATAATCACATATGGCATCCCACCTTTTTAGAAGTCACCTCTTAAGGGGGTATTTATCTTGTGTTGCTGTGAAATACAGACAAGTGAAAGTAAAAGAAACTACATTGAAAGCATTGTCAGGCATACAGAGCAGGTGGAGAAAACATTTATCTTCATAACTGTTTCATCTTTGGTGATTGCTGACAGAAGACATAGCAGTAGAATAATGGTTCAGACAAAAATGCGATGTATTAGTTGGTGGGGATTTTTTACTATAAGGGTAAGGTACAAAGTTCAGTTATGTTACAGCACAGAGAAAGCCATGCTGTCTCGACCTTTCATTAAACAGCAGCTTTCTCAACTGCTGCCTGGTTGGCATTTCATAATCAAAGTACTTTTGTAGCTATTATAAGTGACCCTTAGCTTTGTGACAGGTCTCTGATCTACCACTTGACACTAACATGTGGGATTTAATTTCTTTTTTTGCTTTCCTGCTTATGACATGATGCATTATATCTACTTGGGGGTTAAAAATATGGTTGTTATATATTAATTCAAAACATCTGATTTCAATGTATCCTACTTTTAAGACATTTGACATAGCAGAATGTATATAATCATAATCCTCTTTACTGTTTGAGGTCACATTTTACTTTGCAGCACAACTGAAATAATTGCAACGTTTTTATCTTGCAAAGTTTTATTTATAAGGAATGTGTGGGAGTGCCAGTCCAGACAATGGCTGATTCAACTGGTCTGCTTCATTGTGGATAGATAGAAATTAAGGTCTAAAAGCACAGTACTTCAATTGCATATGCATAAATTAAAAAGTATTGTTAATTTGTGTCTGGAGATGGTTAATGTGTGGCCTTAAGGAAGTTGCTTTGCCTCTTTTTATTGGCTGTAACTATCATAATTATCCAAGATAAGACTCTGTGAAATGATCTGCCTTTATTTTATTTCTTATCGAGCATGATAGTAAATTTAGATTAGTAGAATAAATGATAAGAACCTTTAGTGACCCTCAGAGCCATCAGAAAGGTTGTTTTGGGTGAGAAGTATCCATTTCAGTTATTTAAATGGAAGAATTACGCAAGTAGACTGTCCTAGTCAAAAGTTGAGCACAAGGCTCTTAAAAAACAAACAGTGCTCTCTGTCCTCCTTTGCAATTCAACAAAGACCTGACCTACAGAGATGAAGGCAGGCTGCCCTACCTGTTTAAAATAAAGATAATTCAGGAAACAGGAGAGAAAAAGCTGCCAAAAAATGCCTTCCATTTTATTCATTTGATCTCTTCATAGTGAGAAGGGTTACTGATCTTAGAATAACAGTATTACAAAATAAACAACAGGTTTCAAGGCACCAGACCCCTTACCAAGCTGGTCTTAAGCTAGTGAATAATATGGAAAAGGCTAACAGATGTGTTGGCTGACAATATTTTCCATTCTTGCAAAGTTACTATTTTTGCTTTCTTCACCCCCATTATAGTGGGAATGTAAAAACAAAACTCTTGCAAAATTATAATGGGGGAGGAAGGATTAGATTTGGGTTAATTCACAACTGTTTTGAGCAGAGCAACAGCAATTCAGAAGCAGAAAATTTATTTTAAAAGCACAACCTTTTTTATTTCAGTGAATCTTTTGGAAGGGAAAGCAGAAAGTATGCATCAGAACACCACCAATCATGAGCACTTCATTGGAGATATAGCTGTCATTTATGGGATTCATTCTTCTGTGAAATTTCCTGTTGGTTGATGTTTGGAACAGGGTTCTGCTTCAGATAGACCCCTAATGGGGTGCAATTTGGCAGCTTCCCTGTTCCTTACTGCTTATGTCCATGGATTCTGCTACTCTTTTCAGTGAACTGATTTGCTGTGATATTTTAGGCCATATGATTTGGAGTTTGTTGTGAGAAGGACCAGGTGCCTTGCTGTTCAGTATTTAGTATTACATAGAATCAGACCTTTTACTTCTTTGTGCTGTTTCTTTCACTGTAAAGAGTGCATCATATTTCCTTATGTTGTTAGGTAAGTAATAGGAAAGCAGCATTGTGTTCTCTTTTCAGTTGTCTGTGTTGGAGTCTACATAGTTTGCCTGAGACAGGGGAGGTAATAAAATTATCCTTCCATTCTTTTTACCTGTATCAAGCCTTTCTGTAGCCACACATAGCTTTCCCTTACTGTATGGCATCAACAAGATTCCTTTGAAAGAACAGTACATTGCAATTTCTTTAATGAAAACTCAAAGCACACGTTCCCATGGAAACTACAATTGAACGTATTCTGTCCAAACTACACACCCATCACAATGTGTTAGAAATCAATTGTTTCTCTGATTCATTTGCAGGGCAGCTCCTTGTGTTGCCTCATGCAGTTGAGATATTCAGGCTTATGTCAAAACAAGCCAGAATCTTTCTAGCCATGTCTGCTTTTTGGAAGGGAGGAGATTGTAGGGAGCTATGCTGCTATTCCTTTTCATTTAATGGTGACATGTTTTACCAGTTCTGATAATCTATAGACACTTATGCTTCCAGTGTGGTTTTGTAAGGAATGCTGTCCTTGAAAGCAGCAACTTGTGTTCTCCTGTGTGCCCCTTTGAGGTATTCATTGCATTGAGAGTTGGTAAGACTTGAAAAGTTGAAGAGAAGCTTATTCCAGGCCTCCACTGTGTAAAGAATCGTATGACATAGTCCCCAACCCAAGACCATGTGAAAGATGCGCACAGCATGATTACAGTTATTTGTCTGAATGAGACTGAAATACCCTCAGAAATAGAGCAATACATCATCAAGGGCTGTCTGCTTTCTTTTGTATTATTGAACTGGGTCTCCTTTTTCATTTGTTCACTGTTTTAATCTCTCCAAGAGGTTTGTTCTCTGAAAAACAACACTGAGGAGTCAGCTGCTTTTGATATGCACTTTGCTGTATATCCTGTCTCTCAGTTGAGGTCTGCCTTTCCGAGGTACAGGAGGGATGTGCAGGCTGCTCCAAGCAAAATTATCAGTAATGCCTTTATTTAAATGTGTATCTGTTCTTACCTGTTTCAGAACACCTCAGGAGGAAGGCTGTGTTTTGCTTCATTGAGTAGAGGTGTTAGCCATGGCCCATAGCTTTGTCGGAGTGGCATGAATAAATGAGAATTCTGTTTCATTTGGGAGCACACAAACCAGTAGATAGCATTGCTGAAGGTTCTCTTTCTAAAGTCATTTTGCTCATGTCAGGAAGAGGACAAGAGAAGTATCACAGACTCCCAGGGCTGTGTAGCTGCTCTTAGAGAACGACTTTAAAATGGATAGGGTTGAGCGTGAAGTAAAATAGCCTCCCAACATCACCACTCAGTTTGGAAGATCTTGGCCAAAAGCAACCGGCTACCATTGCGTTTTGATGGCAGTAGGATGTGCTTTCTCCATTTAGTTAAGCTGTCTCATGCTTCTCACTCTGAAGGAGTTTCATCCATGGTCATTAAATTTGATGTTATTCAGGAAAATGCTATCTAGCTCTGTATTAAAACAACAAAAAAACCCCACAAAACCAAAAAAAAACCACCCTAAACACCACATACATACTAGTTGCAAAGCCATGTTGTTCATCCCATTGTTTTGTTTTGGTTTTTTTTTATTATTTTCATTTCTGTAACCTGCAGGTGATGCTATCCACAACCACAGTGCTCTGTTCCTTGAGAACAGCTCTTTGAACATACCTTTCTCTCAGGAGAGTCCTGGATCTCCAAACACATCTGATCAACCACAAGGAAAAACAAGAAAGTTGAGCTTGGCCAGCACAAACAGTGAAAACTCAGGGTCAACAGAAAGCTTGCCATCAGCATACCTCACCAACAGTGAGTGAAGCCTAGTGCCATGTACTGTCTGATATGGCAACAACCCTTCCCTCCACATCCGTTCTGTGTAAAAATTTATTATGAAAAGGAAAATTACCTGCTTGGAAATTTGGGGAGAATGAGAACAGCCTAAGTTGCTGCAATTCTAAATAACATAATTTAGCCTCCTTTTCTGTTTGTAATTAAGTAGATAAAGTAATAAAGTGAAGTCACAATTTTATATTAAGGTGCCACTCATAAATAGCCATTAAGGGTTTCATGCTAACAGGGGTTTAGAAGCATGTTCCAGGCATGAAGAAAAATAGATAGATTTCTTACCCATAATTAAAAGTGCTATAAATCATTATATTGTCCTGTTATGGTCTGTAGTCATATATCAGTATTCCATTCCCTATTTGGGAAGCATTTGTAATTCTTGCTCTAACATGATCCTAAAAGTATTAGTCTTTCACTGTACATTTTCCATGGACCTGGAAGCAATAGCAGTGGGAATCATGCTGAGGTGATTTCTGCTTCCCAAAACTTGGACCCAATAGAACTGTTTAGGTTGCAGAGATTTAAGTGATGATGCAGTCAGTGAAAACAGTACTTTAGTGTTTGATAGATACCTTTAACAGACTCTGAATGTCAAGATTAAAAAACCAGAAGACTTCATTCAATTATCTAGCTTAAAGACAGCAAGAGATTTATTAAGAAGATATCTTATCAAAATGTGATGCTCTTTTGTTTGGATTTTTTGTAGTTACTACAAAGTGGTGGGGAACAAAACGAATAGATTATGCCTTGTATTGTCCAGATGTGTTGACAGCCTTTCCAACTGTGGCCCTACCGCATCTCTTCCATGCCAGCTACTGGGAATCAACAGACGTTGTGGCCTTCATTTTAAGACAGGTCATTGATCTCTTTATTTTTTTTCTCTCTGCAACAAATAACCTTGTGATTGTTAATTGCGTCCTCTAAGGGTGATCAATCTTTTAATCTTTAGTTCAGTTAGATGGCTAACTGTGGTTGCATCACATATAACTGGATGTAGGAATGACAGACGTGGATTTATTGGAGAGGTGAAGGAGACAACGAGCCCACCATTAGCACTGCTGGCTGGTGTTTTTACTACCGACAGTGTGACTGGGAACAATGCACTGTCATGCATTCCTTAACTCATTTCTCCCGTGCCCCAGATCAGTATAACCCTGTGTTATGTATTTATTTGCTCCTGTTTTTGAAGGGGTAGGCTATCTCCAGCCTTACCTAATTATGTATTTCCATACTAAATATCAAATTATTAGCATACATTTGATAATAAACCAGCAGTTTTAAAGTACTGCTCCCATAAGAAAATCAAGTGTCTCCTGTAACTAGAGTATTTCAAGGCATTGTGTGTACTGTCTCCTCTGATTTTATTTCTCAGTCATATGATGGATCTCTTGTTCCTACTGTGTCAGTGATTGGACATCAGCTCGCAGTGACTTAGGGGTAATGCAGTGCTCTGACCTCTAGAGAAAGTGGAGAGGCAAAGAAATCTCACCTGGGGTAAAAAAAATAATTAAGTGGTGTTCAAGTGAAGCCTGCAGGGTAACTGTTCCTCCAAGAACCCAATGTGACCCTCACCCAAAAGCCAGTCATGAGCAGTTTAATTTGCATTAACCCAGGAATCAGTGTGGGTTTTACAGTGAATGATGAAACAGCTGCTGCCAGGCAAACAGCAGAGAGAATAATGCAAGAAAATTTACAGTGACTTTTTTTTTTGCCCCTCCCATTAAATCAGTTTGGCAGATGTCAGCGTGCCCGCCTCTCTCGCAGCTCCTTTTAGCTGGTCTCTGTGTGTTAACTCCCTCCACCTCCTGCTCCCAGTGCTGGTGTCAATGATATTAGTTCCCTGGAGGCTTACCTGATCGCTCCTGGGAATGGAAGCTCAGAGTTCCCTCTGGTCCAGAACTGCTGCTGAGTCATACTGTGCAATTGTTCGGAGCCCCCATCTTTGTATGGCAGTCTGTGAGTGGAATGTGTGGCAGACCGTCTGGCTGGTAACCAGTCCACTTGCAGAGTTTTTGATTGCTGTTTCTAATTGATGAAATTCTAAGAGTTCTTTAACCTCTCGCTGTCCTTTCAGAGCATCCTTTAGTATATCTGATTCCAGTCAAAATGGAATTAAGCAATGCAGAATTTTAAAAGTTAATTTTAGAAACTTTGTTTATAACTAGCGTCACCGTAATCAGACAAAGCAAAAGTTGCTGAAGAATTTTTCCATGAACGAGAACAGTCTCCAGAACAGGAATCTTAAGTGATGCTCATCCCAAAGTAGAGGAGCGGTTTCTACTGAAAGTGACAGGTTGCAAATCCCTATTTTTTCTGTTCAAGGGCCCTAGATAATTGCACATAGATGTTTCTCCTCTCCTTTGCAGCTCTCTTACAGCTCTTGTCATCTTCTCTCTCAGGACTTTTTTTGCCTTGAATCCATCTGAACATTCTCCCATCTTTCTTTTCAAATGCCTCCCTGAGCCCAGCTGTCCGTTAGCAATCATTCCTTCTTTATTCTACTTGTTATCTCTGTGTATTCATATCAAGCTGCGTTGTTGTGTTTTACCTAGACTTGTAGGTGCATTACAGCTTTTAGAATTTAATAAGCATTTCAAGCATTTGGAATGTGCCTGTAAAGCAATATGTGAGCTTACAGCACTGTATAAAGGACTAGTTAGTTCCAGCATAGTCTGGCCATTCTGCCCTTGCTGGGAGTTAAGGTTAAGGCTAATGGCCCCTTAAAACGCTGTGGGCACATATATTTCCTGTACATGACCTCCAGTGAATAAAATTTATGCCAATTAGTTAAAAAACACACTGACTTCTCAGCATTACTATGATTTGTTGCAAGCCAGCTACTTTGTTAGACTGAATGCAGCAGGATTTTACTGAAGGGAGTTCATATGAGACATCTTTCAAAATGATTCTAGGCTGCTCTTCCAGAGGGGGCACCCAGGGTGGAAAACGTCAGCACAGAAAACCAACTGTTCAACTTGAGTAATTTTCTGCTAGCTTGTGAAAGAGACAGACTAAGCTATTTTTCATTCAAAATGAAGTAGCCTCATGCTATCCATGATCCCAGGGTGCAACCCCCAGATTTCAGTAAGACAGGACTTGTGGTTTCAATCGAAACAGGGCATAACACACAGATTCTGAAATCTGTGGGTTGTGGCCTGAAATCAGAGTTGGACATGAAAGTTTCTTGGTAAGTGTGTGATATTTAGGTTGTAAGAATGCATAGCTTATATGGCATATTAGGGTTCTGCATGTTCAAAGGTAGTCCTCATCTTCAGATGTTACTAGCCACAAGCCAAATTCTGCGCCTATCACCTACTGCAGTGGTGAGTAATATCCAAAAGGTGATAAGAACCATTCTGTCTGGGTATATGTATAGAAAATCAATACAGATGGAGTCAGGAATCTGACCTCTGCCCCATAAAGGACATTAAAAAATATTTTTGTGGTCTTAAGCTGCTTTACTGACTTTGCAGACCATGAGCAGACAGTGTGTCACTTGATACCATCCTGTTTTCACCATTTTCTCTGGAACAATGTGCAAGCTCTGTTGTGACTGGAAAAGCTGTTCAGTAAGTACTTGAGGTTAAGAGTTGGCCAACAGAGTGAAAGCAGTTTATTTGTCTGTACAATTAATGTGAATGTGTGGCCTGTACCTCTTTCTACTTTCATTGTGCTTTTGGCTCTGCAGTGTCATTCAGCTGGGGCAATAATGTACTTTCCCTTTCTTTGCCAAGTACCAGGACTAGCCAGGCTATGCACTGTTTATTAAAATATTAATTTAATTTCAGTTAATGAGGTATGAAAATGTAAATTTCAAGGAAAATGACAACCTGGATCCAGCAACACTAAGTCCATCCAATCCGCGAGAAAAATGGCTACGCAAAAGGACACATGTCAAATTGAGAGTAAGTATAAATCTGAATATATATGGCAGCTATGGAACTTGGGTTTGGCAGCAATTTAAATGGAGTTTGATCTCCCAAAGCATGAGTTTACATAACTGAATATTACTAAAGAGCTGGAAACTGCTAATGTAATCCAGAGGCAAACAAATTAAGTTAGTCAATAGCAACAATTTATTCTTGGTTTATCACTATGTGTTGGGAGAAAGTATATTTCTTTCTTTTAATAACAGAAGGGCCTTAAGTTTCAGTTAAGCAGAGGTTGTTCTTCTATTTTCTTATATGCTAGATGAATCCATAACTCAAGAAAAGAAGTTTTCTTCATTCTTCAGATGCCACTTCAGTTAGAAATGTCAATTAAGATGCATGTGCCTTCCACATAATCTTGTGAATCTATGGCACCACTTGAAGTGAAAGATAATTGGCATTCCCTTAAATGTTCTCTCTTATTTGGTCATCTTGAGTGCTCTCACTAGAAAGTCTATTTAGGAACCCACCATTACTGGAAATCTAGCTCCAGGTGAAATAGGAACACTGTTTTGCTCGGTGTTCTAATGTGCACTGTGATGTGTCTCAGACACACTGTCCAGGACTCTGTTTCTGTGTCATTGTTCATAATAACATAATAGAGACAGTAGCCTCATTACAAAAGCAAACACTACCCTTCCCACCTTCTGCTCTTATTTCAGAATGTGACTGCTAATCACCGAGCTAATGACGTCATTGCAGCAGAAGATGGTCCTCAGGTACTAGTTGGACGCTTTATGTATGGACCTCTGGACATGGTAGCTTTAACAGGTGAAAAGGTAAAATCTGAGTAATCGATTTCCTTATTTTTCTGAACCAGCTTTTACTAGAAACAGTTATTGAACGTAGCACACGTATAGTACCAGAGAAAGCCTTACAGTGAGAGGAAGTATGTCACTAGCCTCCACCATATTGGCAAAAATATGCTGTAAGTGGGCTTTCCTGATAGCTGACCAGCTCTCAGCCTTCTTATATGATGCTGGCCATCTTCTCTGGTTAGTGATGAGTGTGCTGTGCAGTGATTTCTGAACCTGCCATCCAATTGTACCACCTACTGGAGACAATTAACTTCATGAGCAAGGAAGAATAAGCATTTATAGTGGTTGGCAACCCATAGTTGGAAATACTAATGTGATCTAGGCTTGGCAGGCCTTGTAAATAGCGGGTGTGTTGCCTACTATCACACTAGGTGACTGTTTTGTTGTTTTTGCAGGTTGATATCTTCATAATGACTGAGCCATCTTCGGGTAGGTGGGTGTACTTTGACACAGAGATATCCAACAGCAGCGGCCGGATATCCTACAACATACCCAACCAGAAGAGACTGAGAGTTGGTGTGTATCCCATCAAAATGGTGGTCAGGTAATAGCCCCTAAGCTGGAACTACAGCTGTGATGGGTTGTTGTGATCAGGAAGACACTGAGATGCATAAGATTGAAGGGGTTGCAGAGGGAGATTTTGATCAGTTAGTTGTCTTTTCTTGGTCTTGTCACTGTGTTGTCAGCTTAGATTTGAAGTAGTGATCATCTGTTTACTGGCCACTTTCAAGGTGCCCAGGCCAATGGGTTTATCCCTACTGCAACACAAATCCTCAGTGCAATTCAATTTAGGAGCACTTGGTGTGGCAAGGATGTATGAATTGGGATATTTTGCAGCGTGTTCCTTGGGGCAAAGACTGCTGAAGGTATAGCTTTGTGTTCTTAAGTCTGATAATCTTTTCTTATTGAAATTAATAGTAGAGGATGTACTGCCTTGCTCTCAGCCACCTGTTCATCTGCTGATGTCAGGCTGATCCAAAGACTTACCTTAATTCTGTACTCAAGACCAATTTTATTCTAAATTGGGCAAAAAACCCCACAAAAACCAGCACCTGAAAGTTACAATCCATTGAAGTAAAATCAGTCAGCTCTCCTAGCTCTCCAGCATTTTAAAAAAAATCTCTATGCTGAGTAAAGCATGAAATATGAAGACGTGTGAAATAAAATTTGTTGACCTAGGTGCAGGACTAGTGTAGCTGTACTTTTGAAATATCTTGTGTTTAATGTAAGTCCAATTTGATTTAATACAGATGTTTAGTTTAATATTGCACTTAGAATTAAATTGCCTAGCCACTTAGTAAGTGGCTTTACAGCTTCCTTTGAATCCCTACTTTGAAGGCTAAATCAGTGCGATGAATTTAGCAGAAACAGAATGTGTTGTTACCCAACCAGTTAACCAAGTCTAAAGTCAATTTACAATCTTATGTAGTGCTAATTGAGGAGGAAGAAATGTTTTACCTCGGTGTAACAGAACAGACAATCAATTCAAGAAAAGAGAGTTACTTGAAAACAAATTAAGATGTATTCAGAAGCTAAGCTCCCATGGGCTTTTAGACTGCAGGAGTAAGTTTCAAACAGGAATGAAAGAAATTGTCCTGTCTTTGTTCATTAAGCTGTGCACACGTATTTTAAGAATCTTCATCACTGGATATAAATTTCTAGATCATCAATAATCATCTTTCTAAAGGAAAGAAGGTGTGGTCTTCAGATGACATTTTTTTAGGGAACATGATGTCATGGGATGGTAAGAACTTTGGATCACTGTGTGCTTTATTAGTGTCTTAATGTCCAGACCTCTTGGGGAAAATACATCATGAGGAGAAGATTGCATTTCACATGCCTTTCCACAAGAAAAGGCACCTGTGATTACATTTCCCTTTTGGTTTAGGTTTGTTTTGGGTGGGCTGTTTTGGTGGGGGTTTTTGTTTTGTTTTTTTACTTTTCTGGATTGGCGTTCCCATTGTAATTTGCAAGGATAGAGGGATGGATAATGCTAGTATTACCAGCTGTTTATCTAATGGAGAAAAGCTGGTTTGTGTAAGTACGTGCTAATAGAGGATGCATATCAATTCTTCCCTTATAATTTCTAATAATTTGCCAGTAACTATAGACTGCTGGAAAAAAAAAAGTAACTAATTTGTGTGCTATGTGTGTATGTACGTGTGTGAGCATATATATAGCATTCATCTTATATGTGTACATATATAGACACATATCTATACATACGTAGACAAATAGCATGTTTGAGTAGTAGTTTGAGTACTTCAGGCTCTTTTGAGGGTATTTTCCTAATTTTAGGTATTTATACACGTGTGATTTCTTATTAAAGTCAGCTTCCAAATTTCTCTTTGGAAAGCTATGTCCTGAAAGTGTAAGTTTTAATTGTTCCACATAGGACTGAAATCAGAAGCCCTATTTGACAGCGATTTTTGAAGCTGTAGATCCAGACAGATCTGATTTCAGGTCTTAACTAGAACATGCAGAAAATATATTCCGACATTTTGCTTTTTAAATGTATTTATTACTTTGACTCTCTAGAGGGGACCAGAGCAGTGCTGCAAGTTACCTGACTGTGCTTCCCCGAGGAATGGAATGTGTTGTGTTCAGCATTGATGGTTCATTTGCAGCAAGTGTTTCGATTATGGGAAGTGACCCCAAAGTCCGAGCTGGGGCCGTTGATGTTGTCAGGTAAGCGAGGTTTGCACACATCGCTTTTTAAATCTCCCAACTTTCCTGTTTGAACACAATAGGAAGGAAGAGGGCAGAATAGTTTGTTTGTTTTTTACTAAATTAACAGTGATTCTTTAAAGGCCAGGATTCTTTGCAGATATATTTCTATATTTGCTTGGACATCAGGTCTGCCTGATTTTCAGAGGAATGCTATGGTTTACTTTCAAATTTGTAGTTTAAATTTAAAAAGTAGTTTAAGGATTATGAATTGCTTCTTGGGAATAATGGCCTTACGGTGTGTGCAGTGAATTAATAATGATTCCATGGGTTACTGTGATTAGCAAAGAGTGTATTTTGTGTTTCACTAACTTCAAATAAGGACATACTTCTACTTCAAAAAATAATCAAGTGCCATGAATCAAGAGCGTTTTTTGGAGGAAAAATTAAAAGGTCTTTTAATCCATTCTTGTCAAGTCTGTTGATGTTGCACTGGATGGGGAAATACAGCTCTCATTTTGGAACTTGCATGGGAAGGGAGGGATGTCAGTTTTCAAGGATTTCTACTCTTTACAGCTGAAATGGCAGGAAATCTCATTAAAGGTTTGAAAGGTAGCAGGACTTGATGTGTAGTAAGGTCTATTCTAAATACATTTTTAAATAGCTCTCATATTTTATATAACATATTGTATAACAATCTCTCTTGCTTCCCTCCGTCTCCCTCAAGATGTAGAAATTACTTAATTTCTCAATAGGAGCGCTTAGGCATGCTGCTTTCCACTTGTTGAAGGATAACATCCGACTTCTAACTGGGTCTGTGCTGAGCAAAGAAATGGTGACCTGACCTGTGGATATTGTTTCTCTTTCTGCACCTACATAATTTACCTGCTGTCCTTCCAGGCATTGGCAGGACCTGGGATATCTGATTATCTATATTACTGGCCGTCCAGATATGCAAAAACAGCGTGTGGTTTCATGGTTGTCTCAGCACAACTTCCCACAAGGGATGATCTTCTTCTCAGATGGACTTGTTCATGACCCACTGCGACAAAAGACCATTTTTCTCCGGAATCTCATGCAAGAGGTACTAGAAACCTGTTTGTAGCCTTAAAATCTTTTTCCAGAGAATGTCATTCAGTGAAGTTACAGATCTCCCTTCCTTTTGAACAGTAAATCTCACTGATCATCACAAAGTATTTTTGCCATTCCTCATTTCTTTTCTCACTTAAGAGCAAGGAAGGCTGATAAAATATCTGAAGGGGCCTCCCGGCATGACAAATAAATGAATGAACTGCTTGTTCTTTCCTGTGTGCGTATATGTAGTACTTGCTGGCATGCAGGCAGACAAATTTCACTTGCTGTGGTTTACAGAATGAGGTTGTTAACAATGAACTCATCTGCTGCTTCGTTGCAAAACAAGTGCCATCCTTGTGCATGGTGTTCAATAGAGCATTCACTTTGGAAGTAATATTTGTTTCAGTGCCACATCAAAATCTGTGCCGCATACGGTTCCATGAAGGATATTTCTGTGTACAATGTCTTGGCTCTGTCGCCATCCCAGATCTACATAGTTGGACGATCAACAAAGAAATACCAGGCACAGTGTCAAGTAAGTAACTCTTGCTACTCAATCAGGAAGTCCTAGAGGGGAACAAGGAAATGCATGTGTGTGAATGCATGTGCAAACACACACATAAAAAAGCTAAAAAGCAGAGGCAATGTTTCAGAGAAAGAAGGGAAGTTTTGGTTTCAGATGAGGCATTTTCTGGTGTGGTGAATAGTAAAGAGAATTGAGTGGTCATAGGTTGTATCTGCCAGTGCATGCATCACATATTGCTGAATGACAAAATGGAACAGGTTGCTGAAAGAAAAAAAGAGAGGCAAGAGGAGTATTAGTATTCTGTAGGTGTCTAACTGGGATGCCAAAGATAGGAACTTAATTCTTCATAGAGCTCATAGGTCGAGGCAGCAGTAATTTGTCACTCCCTTTCTTTCCTTCCTATTTCAGTTCCTCAGTGAAGGTTATGCAGCCCACTTGGCCTCGCTGGAGTTCAGTCTCCATTCACGACCCAAAAAGAACAACTCTCGGATGATCTTGAGAAAAGGCAGCTTTGGCCTCCACTCCCAACCTGAGTTTTTGCGCAAGAGAAACCATCTCCGCAGGACTATGTCTGTACAGCAACCTGACCCACCTTCTTTGAACCCCAAGCCAGAGCGTGCCCAGAGCCAGCCTGAATCAGACAAAGATCATGACAGGCATTTGCCCTCCATTGCTTGGGTTCGAGGTGGAGTTCACAAATTTGAATCTATCCCCTAGGAAGCTTGGGAATATAGATCTTGGGTGCACCTCATTAAACTTGTAGGCATGCCTCAAAGATGTTATTTAGGCAGCTTCAAACTAAGAGATGTAGAGGGGAACCTGTACTTTGGAGTCTTCCCTGTTCTGGAATCTGCCTTCTTACACCAACTGGGGAATTTCTAGTCAGTTCCTCTTGACATGTTTATTGGGAAATTTTAAAACAATCTAAAACTATCGCAAGTGCTTATAACATCAAAGCAACAGGAAATATCTTCGGTTATTTTTTACAACAGATATAATAAAACGTGCAATAAGAGAAAAAGCTGTAACAAGCTGATTTTACTCAGAAGGATTGTGGTAATTGGCTAACTAGCTGCACCCAAACCGGTATAAACAGTAGGTCCCATAGGTTACAGAGAAGGTTTGCACTTTAAACATTAAATAGTTGTATCTGCTTCCACTCGGCTTTCAATAATGTGATACGCTTGCAAGGGAAGCAGAGATGGGAACTGCGATAATGGGCGGTCAGGAGTTGTACAGCAAGATGGGTTGAAGGCACCCAAAAGCAAGATTTCCTTTCAGCTTACAGTGTTGGTCAACAGACCCCAACATGGGCACTCGTGTTTGTGTGAGGTGCTGGACATCAAGTAAATGGGAGAACTCCACTTATGAACCAAATTATTAAAACTTCATGTTAGACATAAATGTGTCTGCCACAGTTTGAAGCAGTTAGTGTTGCTGTATACAAAGTAATGTGCAAGTGTACAAAGATCCCATTGTTTTGTGGAACTTGGTGACTGTGCAAAATGTGCGGACTAATCCGAGTAAGGAGATGACTCTGACCATCTCAGTCCGAGAGACAGATCCTAAGATGGTAAGCTAAAGGGAGCCCTTTTACTAAGGGACCTGCAAACTTCAGAACAATCACTTTTCATTATTCTAGCTAGAATCTTTACACTAGAGGAGGAAAAAAGTAATGGAATTCCCATGGGTAAATTTTTTTACCTTCTCATGCTTTATAGCAACTGGTATGTTAAGGCAATCTATAGCATTCAGAATTGAAGCTCAAATGCTGTGAAGAATGGATATGCCAAATTACAGGTGCCAAATAGACATTTTCCTACTGAATTAAATTTATCTCAGATCTCTCAGTTCACTGTAAGTAAAATGTGTGAATTTTTCCCTAAGTGGTAATATTTCTAAAGTGTTGTAGTTAGTTTAACATAATAGCAGTTTGCAGATTCTTCATGCAGATATTTTCACTGCACTAAACTCACGAAGAGAACTTTCATGACTGAACAGAACCATGTTTTAAAACCTGCAATGAAGTTACAGGGGCACATAAAACCCCTTTCTTTTAAAAGTTTAAACCAGACTGTTGACACTGAGAAAGCTTGAAGTCAATAGGAGATTTCTTTTCAAGTTTGTTTAGTTTTAATTTCGGGGAGTTGGGGTGGAGAGGGTGTCATGCCATCCCTCTCCTTACTTTCAAGTTCTCCTAGTCTGTAGCTTAGACCAGAAACAATCTCTCAGCAAGTCTGTTGGTTAATGATTTTGAAAGTTGGCATGTGAGGCAAACAAGAAATGCAATGGAAAACTATTAAGACAGTGCAGAAGTAAACCTAAGTCTATACTCCCTATTGACCCAAGAGTTTCGGTGTGCTTTTTGAAGAGCATAGTAATGTGGCTTTTGCCGTAAAAGGCAGCAAAGTAGCTTATAAATGGAGATCTTTGATTTTTATTTTTTTTTCTTTTATACATTGCTTGTCAAGATTGTTAGTTACCTATCTCAAACTTCCTGAAAGATCTCTGGCACATCAGTAATTTGTTTTTTATAATGCTTCCTTTAAGGGAAGGGGTGATCTTTGCTGAAGATTTAGGAAAGACATTAAGAATTTGGTAGCTCACACTAATTGGGAGCAGGTAACTACATTACAGGAGGCTGGGCTTTTATGCTCTGTTGCCAAGTGAGCCAGCTACAAAAGCTAAATGAAAGATCTCCACAAACTGCATTGAAGCAGTCTTCAGGTTTACAAAAGCTTTCCTAGTAGTATCACGCTTTGTTCTTTAACCCACAAACTTGGAGGAGTTATTCTGTATTCTGTCTTGGTCCTCTGTGTGTATTAATTCTAATCATGTAGTCTGACTAGATAGAAGGAAGAAATTTTTTACAATGAGGATGGTGAAACTCTGGAACAGGTGGCCCAGAGAAGTGGTAGGTATCCCATCCCTGGAAATATTCGAGGTTGGGTTGAATGGGGCTCTGAGCAACCTCATCAAGATGTCCCTGCTCATTGCAAGGGGATTGGACCAGATGACCTTTGAAGGTCCCTTCCAACCTAAACCATGCTATGATTCTGTGATTCCTTCTCCTGTCCTTTGCAGCTAGGAGATTGCACAGGTACACCAGACTCCGTCTCCCTCCAGTCAGTTCACTGTTAGCATGCTCCTGCTTCTTTAATAGGTGTGGGAATCCAAGGCTTGTGAGGGAGGAACTCACTAGGCAAATTTTAAATTTGTTAAGGGGACTTAAGAGCAACATTGATCGCAAAGTTCTTTTAAGCACTGGCTGTTGTGTAGCGTGTCTCCTGACAGTAATCACTGTTTGTGCTGCACAGTTCGAAGATAATATTGCTTTAACCATCTACCTCCACCATCCAAGAAACTCCAAAATCTATTTTTCATTTTAAGTTGGTATAGTAGAAAGGCCTGCTTTCTTTCAAAAGGGGGATCTGTGTGTAATTCTGTGACTGTATTAAAGCAACTAGCATCTGAGCACAAGGTTAGAGAAATCTCCTAGGTTAAGGTCTGTCTTTTACTCTTGCAGACACAAGGTCATTTTGCTGGGTACCATGTCATGAAAATTGTGGGTTTGTGTATTTCTATTAATAACTGGGTCACCTCTACAGTAGTCACTGTGCTGGCTTCTCTTAAGAATATTATAAGCTAATAGTAGTAAAAAAAATGCGCGCGTGTGTGTGTGTGTGCATGATTTAGAGTGGTAACAATTTCAAAGTTTCTATACATGGTATTGAAATGAAGCTGAAAATATTTTCCCTAACTTCGTTTCCTACAGTATATGAGAGCTCATGTGACCTTTGCATAATTCCAACACTACTTCTTGCTCAGGGATAGAATGGTTTATCTCCTGATCACATGCCTCCAGCTGAGCACTTTGGCAAACAGTGATACAAACATTAGCTTGGATGTTAGGGCTTCATATTAATTAGGAGCTGATCTTCTGAAACATCAGATGCCAGATGCATTTGTTTTGTAAGCACTAGCCTGTTGCCACTAAAATGGTAAAACAACTTCTGTTGGAGCTGAGAGTATGAACAAGATGAGTGTGATTTTTAGACATCTCACCACTAGGCTGGCAGAACAAATATTCTGTGGCAATGGCTGGGGACCTCATGCATGTTGAAACCACCAGCTTCCCCCCCCCGCAGCTATGCTTGGGGTGATCCCTGAGGTTTGCCTGAAGAGTCTCTAGTTTTATAGCATAATTTTTCAATTGTGTTTTCTCTTGAAACATTTCCTTCTGGTCAGAATTTTAGTTACACACCTTGTCCACACGAAACTGCATGCAGTGGTTCATGGGCATTCAGTTTGCAATTGGATTTCAGTTTTACTTGTGCTTCCGTGGAAGGGTTATTAGTCCTCCTCAGCAGGCCATTTGCTGAGGATAAGCTTGATCCCACAGTTGTCTTATTCTCTGATTGCAAGTACTCATTGCTGCAGTCTCTGTGCAGTCAGCACTTAACCTTTATAGGCTATGGAAGTGTTAAAAGCATGCACAGAAGGGAAAGGGACAGAGAAGTCAGGCAGGAATGGTGGATGCACAGGGAACACAGGTTAGACTCATCAGTAGTTTCAGCACCTTCAGTGCCTCCAGGCTGTTAGAGAAAAGCACATTCTTTCAACCTGCTGAATGGAGGAAGCATAAGTCGAACTGTAAAATACAAAACTGTTAATCCAGTGGGGTGCTAAGGCAGAAGTACAAGTCAGTGCAAAGTAGGCCACAGTTGGAAGCATTTACTTCTTTGCTTTGTTGATACAGATCCAGTTTTAAATTACTGTAAAAACCCCAACACACACCCCCCCCCCGAACAAACAATGGCTGTTTATTCAATTTTGTTGTCTAGTTAAGTAAGTTTGAAAAAAGATATCATTGTATAGAGTGCAGAATATTCCACAAACCTTAATAGTGATGTTGATACAAATCTGCTTATTTTGAATAACTTTAAAAAAAAAAAAAAGTGTTTGCATACACTAATGCTCTTGGGAACAGATTCTTGCTTGACCAAAGTAGTTTTGTGGCATGGTTTGTATCTATTCAGCATAAAATTTTGTTAGGTGTAAAAATGACGTGGCATTGATAATTTTTCTTGTTCATTGGGGTTCATGAGAGCTGCCATTTTGATTTCTTTACATGAAAATAGACTCTTAATTCTTACAGATTATTTCACCTGTTCCTCTAGTACCTAGGCAAGTCACTTCTAAATGGAGTTAAAACTGTCACTGGTTATGCAGAGTGGAATTATCAGTAAACTAGAGAAAAAAATTACACACCTTAATCTACTATTAAAATAAGCAAAACAATGACACTTTATCTGGAAGCTCCACCATTCTGCAAAATAGCCTTTGTTTGCCATTATTAGTGAACAAGTTGTCCCATGTATACATTGTGGTCTTTGGGCCAGGGCACTACTAATGTGTGTATTTAAGCAAATCCCCAATATGTAGGCCTATAGTATCATCACATACTTCATGGAATAAATTTAGAAGGGATAAAAAGAAATTTTTCCTTCTTCCTATATTGCTTCCTGCCTTAAATTTGCTAAAACCTCTGTTTATTAGCATTTTTAATAATACTTGTAATCAATAGGTATTTTCAGGTTTTAAAATTTGTAAGTGCAACAATTGTTACTGAACAAATAGGATTTTCCCCAGGTTTTTTTCCTCCTCTTTTTTTCCTCCATCTAAGCCACAGAAAGGTGAGTACATCATAAAAGTACTAGATGATTGGAGTACGGGCACCTTTTTAATAAGTTGATTGGCTTGGCTTAATAATGGAGAGAAGAGACTGTACACTGCAATTTCATCATTTTTCTGGTTCAGGCTTGAAATGTGGGATCTGAACTCAAGATTTGCTGCATTGAATTGTTCATTATTTCAGGCATGCAGGGGAGAAAGTGGCACTTTCCATCCTCATCTGGAACTGGTACAGGATAGACTTTTCATAAACACAAAACTTTCCAACTTACC